ACCAGCACCATGAGTGAAAAGGACCTAGGAATAATAACAGACCACAGTATGAATATGAGCTGGCAGTGTGATGCTGTAACCACTAGGGCAAATAATACTCTGCATCTCCAGCAAAGCCAAGGAGGTGATTCTTCCGCTCTGGTCAGCACTGGTGCGACCGCAGCTGGAGTACTGCATCCAGTTCTGGGCACCACACTTTAACAAGGACACGGGCAAGTTTGAGAGAGTCCAGAAAAGAGCCACCCGTATATGTTAAGTCTTAAAAGGCAAGCCATATGAGGAAAGGCGGAGGGATCTGGGACTCTTCAGTTTGAGGTAAAGAAGGCTGAGAGGGGAGTTGGTAGCAGCTTACCACTACACTAGGGGAGTACATCATGGGCTTGGTGAGCAACTGTTCACCAGGGCACCTGAGGGGAAAACCAGGAGTAATGGCCACAAACTTCCAGAAGATTGATTCAGGCTCAACATTAGGAAAAACTTCACAGCTAGGATGTCCAGACTGTGGAATACGCTCCCTCCAGATGTGGTGCAATCACCTACCTTGGAAATCTTTCAGAGGAGACTAGACAGTCACTTTGCTGGGGTCATCTGACCCTCAGTTATCTTTCCTGCTTGGTGCAGGGGGCTGGACCCAATGATCTTCTGAGGTCCCTTCCAGCCTTACAATCTATGAATCTATGAAGTAAATTGGCATGTGTTTCCAGAACTAAGGCCCAGATAATCTATACAGGGCTCTAGCGGGGTGTGGTAGAGCTTTTTAGTCCCTATACTCTATACCAGAAGTTCTCAAACTGTGGTCTGTGGACCACCACTGATCCACAAGCTCCATTCAGGTGGTCCACAGAAAGGTTGCAGAACAATCGTGAATATCTGTACATGTAAGGTAAAACTACTGGAATTTAAATATGAGTTGTGTGCTTTGATTTGTAGAACAAAAGCAAGTTTATTAAGTGGTCCATCGAGACCCTTAGCAATTTTCAAGCGGTCTATGAAAAAAAAAGTTTGAGAACCACAGCTCTATACAGGTATTTGTAGGCCAAATCCCAGCCTAGCCCTGTAGAAAGAAAAGATGGCTGGTTGTGCATGTCAATCGGTACTTACAGCATCTCTTCTATTTAGTGAGTTATGTTTCATGAGATTCTCTTTATGCTTCTCCGCTGGTGAAGGGAATACACCAAGATATTCCCTTTACTCTGTTGTAAAGCATTTGATAAGCAACCTCCCTGGGGTTAGTAATCAAAGTAACCCAGAAAACAACAAGTTTATTCAAAACTAGTTGGCATTCACATTAGATTGAAATTGATTTTTTCTTTCTCTCTCCTGTCTTGTTCACCCCAGACCTAAGATCCCATCAAAACACTCATTTAATTTGTTCTGTTTTCATAGCACGTTTCAATTGCATAAAAATGGCATATTTCAGTGAAAAAGTATTTTGCCAAAAAGTTTCTAGCCACCATAAGGATGATGATGGTATGTTATCCATATTCTGTTTATGAACATCTGAAAGATTTTATACCCTTCTTTGATTGATTAGCGGGTCAAGGAAACAAACCCCAAAACAGCCATGTTTCCTAAGGGAAGTTATGTAGACAGCAGCCTGTGGTTTGTATACTTTTTGAAAGTTTATATCAAATAACTGCTCCATTGAACAGCTTTTCTTTCTCTGCTATTTGGTAAATAAGCTGGATTTCTATTACATTTCAGGGCCCACTCTGTTCAGTTGATGTTAATGAATGTCAGATTTATGCTGGAACAGCACTAGGTTGCCAGAACGGAGCTACATGTGTGAACACACCAGGCAGTTACAGGTATATTTTAATGTCCTTATATAAAAAAAAAAAAAATCATTATTAGAATCCTCTGGGATTTTTTGTCATTTACTGCCAACCCAGTTACAATATGGGAAATAACAATACACATCAGTATACTGTAGCACCTTTGCCTCAGAGTGATCACAACATGCTTGATAAATCATGGGGTAAGTCCTGGCACAGAAAAAACGGTCACCAAAGCCATCGGTAATTTTGCCTGTTTTGAGTTGAGGGAATCGCGTCTCCTTCACAGCTAGAATGTAGTCTGAGCTTTATACCTACAGAGTTGGGGGGAGGTGGGAGGGGGCGTGGGAGGAATACCTTAATCTTTCATGGTAGTCTAGCTTAGCCAGGTCTTGGGTCCAGGGAGAGAGGGAGAAGTGGGTGGTATCTTGGTTACTCTCTCGCTTGCAAGTGGGAAGGTGAGGTAGGTAACTACTACTCTTCTTCATACCCCTTGATCCTAATATGCCAACCATAAGTGTTGTAATTTGTGTGTCATTGCATCACATTATCATCTCCTGTAGCAAAAAGAAAGTGAGGAGAAAAGGGTATTTTTTCCCCAGGGAAGCTTAAGTCTTAATGTGCATTTTAGGGCAGCAATATTCATAACAGCACAATACAGACCTAAAGGAACATCTGCACCCACCACACAAAAGCAGGCACTAGTGAGACGGAAGTCAGATAACAAGTAATATACAATTGTTTGTGTACACAGAAACTGAGCAGAAATGGTATCTCCCACTGACAATGTATGGGAGATGCATGCAGTTCCAGAGTGTGGGTCTTACCGTTCAGAGATTTACCCAGTTCAACAAATTGGATAGAAGTGGGGTCCATGTCACCTCCCCTTCTTTAATTGGTATGTTAGTGCTATTCAGGCCTGTTCTAATGACAGCCCTTGTTCAGTTCCTTTGAGCACACCCTCTCATTTACTGGGGCAGGCTTGTCTGAAAATTCTTCTGCATGTTTTCATAGTGGCAAATAAGTTGGCAAATACATAACGTTCAGATGTAATACAAAGCTCTTCCTGTGAGAAGGGAACAAACAGGCTGGATGGCATGCCAGAGCTTTCTGCAAAGCATTTTGTTCACAGCTTCAACCTAAGAATCTTAGCCCCCACAAATATTTATTTGGCATGCCACTGGCTTTATAATGTTCTGTCACTGCTTTGAAGAAGTTTCTAGGAGGAATATCCTTTCACAGTGTTTCTTGTACCAGTTCGAGTACTATTTGTGGGTGGCAGGGATTGGGTTGGTAATCTGTCAGCTTTACTTTGATTTTAAAAGACAAGTTTTCATCATGCTTGCAGCTGTCCATCTTGTCAGACAGTGTGTAAAACAAGCTAAACCTAAAGTAACTTAAATAACTGCGACCTTTCTATCAGCACCATAGATGCACTACTAAAGTAAAAGATATAACATGGTCCCCATTTCCATTTCCCTCTCATGTTTAAGTAGTCATTTCCTGAAGGGCAGCTTCCAAAAGATGACCTCAGTGTCTCTTCTGTCCCCCCTTTGTGTCAAATCAGTACTGGAAAAAAATGAACAGTACCTATATACCAGGCCAAAAGGTATATATGTTCCTTTGATGTTCTTGTCAAACAAGGCTCTCCTGCTCCATATCTTCCTGTTTCCTTTCCATTCCTCCTCCCATCCTAGTCCACTCTTCCATACCTAGTGAGGACAGTTTTATGATGTATTTATTCACTTTTTTTTAAGTGATCAGGAATTCAGTGAAAAGTAACTTCAAAGAAGAAGAAAAAAACCCAGCATTCTATTCAGTAGCAGAAGAACATGATGATGTTTTATTACTCATTTGAAACTACATAGAGCATGACCTCCTTTTTAAGAATTTCTGCTGTTATCAGCTTCAAATGGGTGATAAATTAATTTTTTACTAGGATATCTTGAATACAGTGATGATTTCTAGCTCTCTGGAATAACCTTTCTGAGTTTTTGTTAGCCTTGATTTTGATCTGTCCTTTGGAGCAGGACTTGAAGTATGGAAATGCACCTCAGTGTCTTTAAAGTCTATCAAGTCTTTTCTTTAAGAATCAGCATTTTAGTTTGGTTTGGTTTTTCAGTTTGTCATTTTGTTTCTCCATATGTGCTTGAGGAACATGAAATGGTGTTAATATGTTAGGACAGTCTTAACAGGTGAACTAGAATATTTTTGGCTCCCACATATTCTTGTTAGGTATTAAAGTATCCCAACTTTAAACCTAAGTTAATTAGTGCCAGCTCAACATAGTCAGTGTTCAGCAATCTGCAAATAATTTATCAAGCTTGCTTTCCAACTGAATATGTGACCCAGAGACAGAGATATTATTAGTTCATCAGTGGGCACCACAAAGTCCAAATCAACCACATCCTGGCCTTCACTCAGAATAACTTGTAGATCGTGCATAGGCCTGTGCAACATTAGCTATGGATGACAAACAGCACTTGCTCAAACATATGCAATTCAAAGCATAACCAAATTGCAGGAGAAGTGTGGATGTCAGGCTTGCCCAATTTTAGGGAACTTGAGCCAAGGCTGTAGAAATATGACTGACCAGCAAACCAAGGGCCTATATCCTAAATACTGTGTATTATAATTGCATCCTAAAATGTTAATAATTAAAGTGACCAAATGTATTAATAGGTATTTTGTTATGATAAATGTATTCTTGCTAACATATTCAAATGACTATAGACACAAAGGCAGCCTTGAGGATGAAAAGAGCAAAGTAGCCTTGTCAGCCCATAGGCCACAGTTAGTAAATAACTGATCAAGGCCAAAGAGCAAGGCATAATAAGAGATAAGAAATTTGTCCTTCTGCTGTCTCAACAATATAAATGTTAATTGATTAACAAGATCTTGATTAAAGTAAAGATTAACAGATGATAAACAGACTGAGGTCAGATGACCTAAAAATAAAGAGCCTTAGCTAAGGTGATCCCTTGACCCACTAAGATCTGGTTCTATCCAGGTCCAAAAGTTCCAGTGAAACAAAGAAACTTAAATAAGACCAACCATAGATCAATGATTAGCGTGTCAAATCAACCACTATAAATATTGGGCATGGGGCAAGCAACACATTGAACCTTTCCCAAAGCCCAGCAAAAAACAAAACAAAACAACTCAGTGAGAATCCCCAGGAAAGCAGAGATGCCTGGCCGGCAGACCTGATCTTCCTGAATCTCAGGCTGCATAATAAATATTGTCTTTATTAGTATCAATAAATCATTGCTATTACGTATCCTAATAAAGCTTTTGAGTTTGACTGAAATGGTCTCATTGATCAATTTATCTCACTCCTAACTACAGGTTAAATTGAGGGTAACAAACCTATAGCCTAGCAGTCATGGCAGTTTTTAGCCACTGAGCTAGTGCATAAAAGGAGAGGTGAAATCATCACTATTATGACCATCTCCCATGTAGCAGTTATGGATTAAAAGAAAGTGACATAAATATAGAAAGTGGTTATAGAAGAATTAAAGAAGATCTAATGAAGGGCAACAAGGATGATTAGTATTATGGTGGGGCTTCCATAGGAGGAGAGACTAAAGAGGCTGGGCCTATTCAGTTTAGAAAAGAGACACTCGAAGGGGAACATGATAAGAGTTTACAAAATCCTAAATAGTGAAGGGAAAGTAAATAAGAAAAAGTTATTATTTACTTTCTCCCACAAAACAAGAACTGAGTGTCATAAAATGAAACTGGTAGTAAATTGAAAACTAACAAAAGTAGGTTTTTTTCACACAGCATATCATTGAAGTGTGGAACTCATTGCTACTAGATGTTGTAGAAGCTAACAGTTCAGCTAGATTCAAAAAAGGATTGCATAATTTCTTGGGGGAAAGAGGCATCGGTAGCTATTGACTCTGTGGGAGTTAGGGATACAGCCTCTGATTTAGAACTGGCTAGTTCTTAAATGCTGGAGGCTGCAAGTTAGAGAGGAACAGTGGAAAAAATCCCTGGTCGTTAGGCCTATGCAAATAGGCAACTATTTGATTTGGATTTGGATTTAGCTGATTCAAATTCGGCTGATTCTATTTGGAGATTTGAATTGCTTTTCCGAATCGATTTGACTAAATCAGTTCGGAAAAGATTTGGTGATTTGGAGATTCATCCATAGGATATAATGGGGAATCAATGAAATATCTATAACTTTGTTATTTTTTGGCTGATTTGGATGAAACTTGCAGGAAAGGTAGCCCCTGCAAAGGGCATGAAGCCTACCAAGCTTCAAGGTGATAGATGCAGAGGTTTCTGGGAAACTGTACCTCAAAATTCTGAAAGCAAAACTCAGGTCACACGTGTGTGTTAAGCCACAGCAGGCTGAAGACTGCGTGGATGGTAGCTCTTGCTAAGGCCACAAAGCCTGCCAAGTTTCAAGAAGATAGGTGGAGGGGTTTCTGGGAAACTGCACGACAAACTGCTGACAAGCAAAACTCATGACACGGGTAACACTGTGTGTGTGTGTGTGTGTGTG